TACTTCTGTCTCTGCCAGAGTTCAGTTCTTCTGGGTTGGTCTTGCACTTTGAATGCAGCCTCCTTCTCCACTGCCCCCCTGGCACAGGCACTGTGTCAGTATGCACAGGGTGCTAGTGCTCTGCTCAGCAAGCACTACACAAGTGTTCAACTTACTGCCCAGGAGCAAAAAGGATTGGATGAAATGGTGGGGCAGCAGGTATCCTATAGACTGCATCAGAGCTCCTCTTATGTTTTTCATAAAATGCCACACGTGAAGGGCAAGACATAAAGAGTATTTTGTTTGGGTTCTTTATCCACCTGTTAAGGGAATTTAGTCAGTAAGAAGCTTATTTTCGGTGAACAGCTAAACCAACCTCTCTGGCAATACATAAATATAAAATTAAGAGTTTTTGCAAGTTCAACATTTTCAGAGCAGGTTTTGCTTTCTTTAAGCCTAGGGAAGATGAAAAAGGTGGGGAACGATGCCATTACTTTATATAGATTGATGCAAATCACTACCTGGTTATAAATCCCACTGCTGTAGTAGTCTCTTGAAAAGAGGTGGCATTGAGAGAAGATGCCAGATTTGGCTCCAGAACAGCCATCTGCTGGAAATCTGTGGCTAAATGTCAGTGTCATTATTTCAGGACCAAGTGGAATCGTATAAACATGCCTGAAAGATACATATCTGCAGAGCCAAGTGGGAAAATAGGTGGGAAGAAAAGACTGTTTTTCAAGTAGGAAGATAGTGGACAGCATAGATCTGAGTCATACTGGCTGAGGCACAGTTTGTTCCTGATCTAGCAAACCCCACCAAAGAGGTGACTAGGCCAACCCAATTGGAGAGCATTCTGGGTCCCCAGGTGTCTGCTAAGTTTTGTGAAAATCAGAGGGGGAGACTACTGATGAAGACTCTGTAACTTATGCCCATCACTCACTAAGCATTAGAGAATTCAGAGAGGAGTGCCACCTCAAGAGACAAACTCCCCAGAAACTAGCCATCTCTACTGCTGCTCTTTGCCAAGTTACTTTGTCTAGCTGTCATCAGAAATGCTTTGGTGGTGGAAAACAGGACAAGTTTTCCTGCCTTGCCAACAGAGATGCAAGTACAGTCAGTTGTTCAGGAGCAAATATCTTCTGGACTTGCTGAGACAACATTTGGGCTCCCTCTCCAATGGTGCAGGTTGCACCAGCTGCCCTGAGTGTGGAGAGGGGTAGGTGTGTTGTAGTGTGGGGTTCCTAGCCGGGAGTAGTGCGCAGTTCCCAGGGGGGAGGAGACGTGCTGAGGAAATTACTGCTCTGTCCCCAGCTGCTGAGTCTCTCTGTTTTCCTCTGCCTTCTTCCCCCTCTTCCCTTGAAATGATAACTCCAAATGGCTCAGGCATGGGCCATTTTCTGTGATTATTTGCCTTTTTTTACTCTTCCTCAATTTACTCTCCTTGTCTCTGTAAGGAGGAAAAGAGATGTAGTTGGAAGGTGGCTGGAGAAATGGTACCATTTGCTCTCTGAGCGGAAAGGTATTATCTGGCACACAGCAAGTCGAGGAGGTAAAGGTGTGTGGATATGTGTAGCATATGGATTCAACCTGTCTCTGCCAGCATCTATTGCCCTGGCCTAAACAATATGAGGCATTTGAATGTTAATCAAGTTGGCTGCTGGTTCTGTCCCAGTTAGAGCAAGAGCCATTGGAGCCAGTTCATGGGAGCTTGAAGGGAAGGAGTGGGGCGAAGGATGGAGAGGGGAGTGCTTCTGTGAAAGGCAGGGAGAGATAGCCTTTCTCTAACTCAACAAAAGACAAGCAAACCTGTGTGCAGATGAAGGAGGGGTGGCTGGGGGAAGGTTACGAGTTGTCTTATTATGGAGAAGCTTGAACTGTCATCTGTACTTGATGGAAGCGAGAGAGATTGCAGTTGGAGCTGCAGAAGCGCTGCCTCCCTGATTGGATTAATAGAAAGGGAAGATGACTCTAGAATGGCTGCCCATTATCTGCACTACAAAGGGATTAGTGTGGGTTTCAGAGAAATTAATGGCTTTTGAGTTAGCGCAGAAATACTAATGAATGTCAGGGCCAGAGATGTACGGTGAACAAAATTGGTTCTCCTTTAGTGTGTGCATGTGCATGTGTATCTATCCATTTGGGCTATCAAAGTGTGCTTTTTCTCTACCATTCTGAGTTATAGATTAGGCTTTCAGTTTTCATATTTAGCTGAAATACTCTCGAGTAGTTTATTGGTTTGCAAGGTATAGTTATACTCACCTTTTTAGACCTAGTGCCAAAGTAGCAATTTTTCAAATTGTTGTTGTGGTTTTAGCCACATCTGCGGGAAATCTTTGTAGATGGAGTGCTTTGAGCATGGTGCTAAAAGCAGGCTCCCTTCTGAGTATATGGGTGAGAGGGGAAGCTGAGGCTGAGCTGGCAAGGCAAAACCTAAATGCATCCTACTAGTTTGTGTGGATGGGAGGTAGCATCCTTCCCCCATTTTTTAACCCACATGAGGTTTGCTCACATCAAGTATATCAAACAATTAATGTTTATATACTTTATATACTTTAATGTATGTTCAGTAAGTTTAATTGAAACTTGTGTACTTAATCCTTATAAATGCTTAAAGCTGGTTTTCAATGAAGAACTACCAAAAGCTTTTACACTGCTGCTGTTCTGAATCCTCCGCCTGCCCATGGACAAAACTCACGATAAACTATAGCAATACATTCCGGCAAGGGTGGGAGTATCTCCTTAGAATGAAAATTGCAGTGCAAGTTCTGCTTTCTCACCAGTTGGTGTCAGAAACCAATGGACAGTAACTAGGTCCTTCAAATGCTCATAGTCCCTGACTCTGCCTGTGCCCTGGAGAGTAAACAGATATATCCATTAGCCCGCGGTGGTGAGAGCAGCTTGGCCAGCAATCTTGGCCATAGTAGTTGGGAAGCCCAATATAGATGGGGGTGTGGTAGTTTCTACGTAGTCTTGGGTTTGGCTCTTTGTTTCCAAGCTTCATCAGGTCTAGATGCTTCTCTTCTCTTAGCTGTATTGAGGACATCCTTGGTGTACTCTGAGGTTATTGTGTCTAAAGCTTGTTAGAGAGTAGCCTGTTAACAATAGTGTAACTGGTTAAGCTGAGATGCTGAAAACTTATGCCTCCAGCTGTCTGCCCTGTCCCTCTTGCAGAAGCTGTCAGCCCCAGGGCAAAAACCCCGAGTGAAACAGCTCCTGTATCCCATGGTTTGTAATTTTGTGTGTTAAGGTCAATTGATGCTGATTTTGTTGTGACCTAATTATGCTGGGCAGTGGATGAGGAGCTGTTTCCAGGTTGCTACCTTTCTCTTGTGTCTGGAATAGCAGTCTCCAAGGGAGATGGACAACAGGAAGCAGAAACCTCTACTTGTATCTCTAATTCTGCCACTGTTTGTAAGTCAGGACCCATCATAGTACACACAGTACACTTACTGGAAAGGTGAAGTAGAACTCAGATAGGAGCAAGAATGTGTTCCTCAAGCCTGGGTTGTTTTGGGGTGCCAAGTGTTATAGTTCATATGACAGCGTAACAATGAATGCCACTGAATTTACACAGGGACAGTAAAAAATTGTATAGGACCATGTCCAGCCCAAGGTGAATATGATGTTTGTATCTGTGGTGGTTGATGGTGCAAATCAGATTGGAACAAATTTTTCATGGAAACCTTTTTTTAAAACTCAGACATGCTTTAAATAAGTCCTTTTAAATTTGTATCACTTTACGAGTCGCCTGGAGTGACTTTGGGTATCGCTGGTTTACTGGGAACGAAGAAAATTTCCTTTGACTTTGCCTTGGGCTGGGTTTGTGAAAGGATCTGCTCCAAAGCACCTGAAATGTTGAGATGCTCAGGTGTATGTGTTTGGGTCTGTCTGGGCAGCCTCTTATTTTTCATTTTTGGTCCTTCCTGCTGCTTCTGAACCTGATTCTCATAAATCAGCAAAGCTTCTCAGGAGTAAACAGAGCTGTGTGAAATGTTCTGGTCCCGGGTCATGCTGAAATGTGGTAACAAACTGCTGTGTTGGGCACAGTTCTCCATTCCCTGTGACCTGGGTCAGTCCTGGTGCCAGGTGTTGTACCCAGGTGCTGGCAGTGGGGTTGTTCCAGGTGGTTCCAGCAGCCCCACCACAGGGCACGGCTGTGCCCGTCAGCCACAGGTGGGGCCTCTCTGGCTGTGTGCATCTCAGAAAGAGCAAAGCACTGCACAGCGGGGTGAGGAGCAGTTGAGGGTCAGAGGAGAAGGTGCTGCAGCCCCTGGGGAGACCATTGTGGAGCAGGATCTCCCTGCGGCCTCATGTGGGACCCCATGCTGGAGAATGTGAAGATATCCTGAAGGAGCTGTGGCCATGGAGATGGAGAGCTTGTGCAGGAGCAGGTTTAACATGAAGGACTGCAGCTACCACACCTGGAGAGAACCCATGCTAGGGCAGGGGAAAGGTGTCAGGGAGCAGCAGAGAGGAGCTGACCAGATACTGCTATTCCCCTTCTCCCTATGCTGGCTGAAACAGGTGGGGAGGCAGAGGAGGTATGCGTGAAAATATGAGGTTGAGCCTGGGAAGTAGCGGGAAGAGAGGGTAGAGTTTTTTAGTTTATGTGTGTTTCTCACCATCAAAATCTATTTTAGCTGGCAATAGATTACTTGATAGTCTTGTCCACTTCTGGATTAGGTTCTGGGAGACTTGCAGTGGTTTGCTGCTGTGTTACTATTCTCCTGGATAATCTCAGGAAAATGGCTTTGTTTCTCTGTCCTTGTGTTTCTCTATTCCCTTTTTGTAGAGTGTTTTGGTACCTCGGGGAAAACAGTGTGCTGTATTGTCACTGGCTCAAATGTAGAGTTAGTGCTTGTGTTTGATGATTATAACCTATTAAATGAAGGCTGAATCTGTGATCCTATCCTCAGATATGCCCTATATGGGTAGGAAAGGTGTATAAGCCAGAATGATGTCACAATTTGAGACAATTAAAAAAATAATTAATGATAATGTTCTCATTTTGTTTCCTCCAGAACACAAGCCAGTGTTCCCAAATCTTCTGAAGAAGGGATACTTAGAAGTTAGAAGAGACAATGACAGCTACTGGCAAACCTGTTACGCTGAGCTCTCCCCGTACAAACTGTACCTGTATTGCTTGGACAGCAGTGGCAACCAGACTCTTCCCACCGTGTACCCACTCATGCGTTTTCAAAGGGTCACTGTTACTGGTGGCATTGAAACCAAGGTGGTAGACACTGTCCTGTCAGACAGCTCACAGCTCCAGCTGAAGGCAGAGTCCTCGTGGGAGACACTGGACTGGGGACAGAAACTCTGGGAAGCAGTGCGTGCTTCTGTACCTGCTTTCACGAGACAGCAGGAGAAACTGGAGAATGTGCCAAAGCCTGAAAATAACAGTGACCTTTCTCAAACCAATGGATTACTAGAGAAGCCTATGGAGCTCTTCCTGTCCATGAACTTGACTGAAAACAATAAAGAGTATCAAAATATTCTCAAATCAGGGACTCTTTACAGGTTAACTGTCCAGAATAACTGGAAGGCATTTACTTTTGTCTTGAACAGGTCTTATCTCATGGCATTCCAACCCGGTAGGCTTGATGAAGATCCTCTGCTGAGCTACAATGTCGATGTGTGCCTGTCGGTGCAGACAGATACTCAGGATGACTGTGACTCTTGCTTTCAGGTCATTTTCCCCCAAGACGTCCTGCGCCTGCGTGCAGAGACGCGTCAGAGGGCCCAGGAGTGGATGGAGGCATTGAAAGCAGCAGCCAATGCTACTAGAAGTTTAACTCAGAACCCACAGGTCACACTTAGGAACAAACCTGGAGATCGGCCCTTTGGAAGTGACCTCAGGAAGAGCAAGCGCCAGTCTGTGACCACCAGCTTCCTCAGCATCCTGACCACACTGTCTCTAGAGAGAGGGCTCACAGTGCAGAGCTTCAAGTGTGCAGGTAAGCAACCAGGCTGCAGCATCTCCACCTACGCCCCTTCTGCAGGAAAAGAAAATCACTTGGAAGAGCATTTATAAGTTCTAGCAACACACAGGTCTTCCCTGCCTCTCATTGTGGCCAGTTAGCCTTTCTTTGCTCTCTGTAAAATGTGGATAAAAACCTATGGGATATTCAGAGGTTCATCTGCTTTTGATGACTAATGCTGAAAAATTAGATGCTGCACATAAAGCACTACATGGACCAGGGTTGGTTTACAGGGTGGCTGAGCTGTTTTCTTGATTCAGGACACTGTAAAGGTGGTCCAGAATCACTGTAAATTTGTCCTAGGCAAAATCATGATTTTATCCAGTTTGGGATGAAGTGAAAATAGAGAGGGCCTGTGAGAATGCAGTTCATTGTCATTTTACTTTAGCAAGGGCACCTGTGTGGAGGACATTTGGGCACCTTATACCTAAACTATAGTTTTTGACTTGCTTTAGTTACACTCACTCCAAAATTGTCACCTCTATCAGGAACAGCTCTTTTGCAGGGTTTTTCTCTTGTGGTATGAGAGCTGTGAGGGTCCTGCCTCCTCCCCACTCTTCTCTGGGGTGGAGGTCTCCTGTTGTTCTGGAACCACACATGATTCTGGGGATGTCTATGTGGGCCCAGGACCTGCTGGCTGTGTCCCAGATGTACTGGACTGCCCTCAGAACTGGCTGTGGGTGCAGCTGGGTTCGTCCCTCTGGTAGTCCCCTGCAGGTCATGTTCCTGTTCATCTCTCCACAGTGCATGGCACCCACCTGGCAGCCAGAGCATCGTGAAGGTTGGCTTCATTGCAGTTATTGATTTGGTCACAGTATTTGGGCTTCTGCCTGAATTCGGGTCTGTTCTTGACCACATTTGCATGACTTCGTGTCAGTTTTTTCTAGGAGTATTTATGTGCCAAACTACTGCTGAAACTGAAGGTGCCTGGGTCCTGTGGTTACCCTTGATTATCTGAACATTACTGGGCAATGGTCATGTCTTAACTTTAAGGGTAGTTGAGAGAGTGAAAACTGCAGGGAGACTCAGGGAATGACTCGAATAAGTATCCCCGAGATAGGTCCACCCAGTGTGTTACCCAAAAGATAGCCTTGTGAAACCCAAAAAGACAGAAGAATAAACAGCCTTATTTTAAGATAGTTTCCCAGGTGACAATAAACCTGTATTCCTTTCTCTTAGTTTCTTTTAATTCAAAGCTCAGTAGAGGAAAACTTTTTAAATTTTGCTTCGTTCTCTGACTGAGGTCCAGGAGAGTTTCAAGTGAACATTTTTGCACCGTTCCGGCATGGGCTGCTGTTTAACCCGAGGGGCCTGCTGTTGGTAATTACAGCTTGCAGGCACTGAGAGCAGTTTTCCCCAGGGCTGCTGGGAGGGGTAAGCTTGGATAAAGATGAGGAGGGGGGAGGAAGAAAAGTTTTGCTGTGAATTCTTCAGCCATTTAGTGCAAATTCCTGTAATTACCGTCTTTGTGTCCTGTCCCAATAGCACATAATACAGCAGAAGCCTTTCCTAATTGAGACCTTACAGGAGGTACAAATCCCTCCTTTGTTCAGCCTGACAAATTAGTGCCAGAAAGTGGCAAGGTCCGAGTGGGAATCAAAGGCAAGCAACACAAAGATGGAACTTAAGGCTACAGTAATAACCCTCTCTAGTCCTGCAGGGGTGGGAGGGAAGGAAAAGTAATGACCAATGAAAAATGAAGGGGTTTTTTGTTATAAATTCCCTTGACATGACAGCACCTCAGGGCTGCTTTATTTATTTAGGAAAAGTGATTAAATAGTAATACAACAGGGCAGACCATTGTCTCTCGAGCTACCCCCCTTCCTACAGACCCCTGCTGCCTTGGCTAATTGATTGACAATGAACCTCTGATAAAGAAGGTTGCTAGAAGGACCTGATGGGGACAGGCTTTTTTTAATTTATTTTTTCTTTGCAGTCTTTGTGGGGTTCCCCTCCTGGATTTTTTTTTCTGTTTGAAATGCTCTCTGCATCCCCCTTTCCTTTTCTCCCTCAGTAAAAGCTTTTCAGGGAATTGCTCCCAGACAAACAGCTGACAAGCAGGTAGAGAAGAATGTGAATGTCTGTGCCTCGCTATTGACAAGTTTATCTTGGAGCCTGACTAGCACTTTTCAACTTGTGATATAAGCCAGGGCGGTGGTGTCAGATGTAGTCATGGGGCAGGGGGGACAAACTGTTGATAAACTGGAGTCAGAAGGGCAGCTTGAAAAAAGTTTTCTTTTGCTCGATCAGCAGATACAAAAGCTTTTCCCCACGTTTCTAACTCTTTGTCTTACTGCAGAGGGCAGGGCATTATATCTCAAAAAATGAACGAATAGGCCACTGATTAACAGTGGAGAGGCCATTTTTTATAAATACTTTTACCTTTGCAGCCATTACTTATATTTTTGGCGTGGAACGCTGGAGGACATTTTGAAATGTGCCATAAACTTTTGGGACTTTGATGGCAGCATCCTTTGTCCTTTGCACGTTCATATAACTTCAGGCTTGATCTTGCAGTGTTCCTGTGGGAAGTGTTTGGGGCTCTGAGCGAGAGTAGCAGCTGAGAGCATTAATCTGCTCAGGTGAGATTTCGAAGGGACCTACCCCTCATCTTCAAATGGATGTGAAGTGACAGCCCAGTGCAACATGCAGCTCATGCATGTTCTGCTCTAGCTCACGCCATTAGTTTGAAACCAGCCCCTACTGCAGTAAAAGTAAATTTACTTTTTCCCCTCAATGAAAAGAAAGTATTTTCCTAGCTTGTGAAGCCAGCAAGTGTGATTTAAAAAAAAAAAAAAATAGCCAAAATAGCCAGGTACAATATTGACTTTGTTCAACTTCTCAGAAAGCCATATAGTTGAAACTTCTCAAATACAGATAGTTGAGAAACATGCTTGAATCTAGCAAATACTTTGTGAACTGTCATCACACCCACTTATTTGTAACATGTCACTGAAATAAAAATAGTAGGGGACAAATCTTAGAGAATGTATCATGATAATGAAATACCATAAAGTCCTTTGGAAGGCTGTCAGCACTGTTGTCATGTTTTCAGTCCCAAATAACAATTGTTCTCACCTGTCCAGGGCTTTTAGGATGGTGTTTTTTCCAAGTGCTGTATTTGTTTTGTGCTTGGTTTCATTTCAATTGATCTCTTTGTTCCAACGCTTTAGCAGCTTTTTGCCTTCCCTGTATTTGAGACCCTGTAAAATCCCTTAAGAATGTGTTTTGCACTGTAAAAATTTTATTGTTTAAGTATCTTCACTTTAGGCCACAGTCTTCCAGTCTTGTATGACTTTCAGACCCTGTTTCAATTAATTCAAAAGTACAACTTCCATTGCTAACAGTGGTATTTCTAAACTCTTTCTTTGGTAGCCGGAATCAACTGAGCAGAAAAAACCATGGTGCTCTGGGAAAAAACCTGGAATGTGCACTGCGCATTTGCTTGTCATCAGAGCATCCATGCAGATGTGCAGCCTTGAGGGACACGTACAGAAGGAAGATGTCTGCTTGACAGTCGCCTGTTGCAAAACTAGGACATTTGTTTGTGTGTTGGCAGGGCTTCCCCTCTTCTGTCACGTACCAAAGCAGTGTAATATTGGCAAAACTATTACCTGTGGATTGAATCAGGGGCAACGTAAAAGAAATTGCAGAACCACCTGGAGCCTGACTGGTGGGAAGGGTTTAGGTTCTGTGTCTGGCCTTCTGCAGTGTCTGTAGTCTCTGGCACACACGTGTGCTGTGTAAATCTGAATAGTTCATATGCCCAAGGTAGTGCTGTGGTAGTGACGTGCGGCCAAGAAGAAATTCAGCCAAAATAGCATCGGCAAAAGTGTGTAACCACACTTGCTGTGTAGTTGTTCCTTGTGTTAAAGGGAGATACAAAACCAGTTGTGTATTCAAACAGAACCAGAGCTATTTCTAGGTATGTTAATGCTGTCTCAAATAAATGAAACTTGGCAAACCAGGTAGCTTTCAGTATAAGTAAATGAGTGAGCGGTGCAGGGGTAAGTGGTCTTCAAACTGTGGAGCAGAAATGAATATTGAGTTAGGTAGAGACTTTTTGCTAAATGACCTGGCCACAGCTGAGGATCTGATCACACAAAAGGCTGGCCTGCACTTTGCTCTGGTCTCTGGTTTACCTTCTCACAGTATGTAGACTCAAGTATGAGTGTAACCAACTGTAGGAATGGGAATACCATTATTAATTATGCTCACATTATCTTCTTACTCCTAGCTGGCAAGCAGACTTCAAGAGCTGGCCCAGAGAGTATGTTCAGTTCCCATTCCTGACTAAAGAGCTGGTGAATTACTGAATCCTGCCAATAGGTCGTTCCATGGTAGCTCCCATTCACTTCTGTCAGGCAGCACTTCAGAATCTCAGCAAAGTGCCAGATTCTGCAGAGAATGATCCTATAAGGGCAGGAGGGAAAGAATACCAAATTAGCTTGAGGTGTATGGTATTCTTCCTCTGCTGTTGTCCTGGGAATGCAGAGAAGTGACTTGGAAGCATGCAGCAGGAGAATGTAAACTGGCCATGTGTTAAAATAGTCACAAATTTATGTGTGAGGCGTGTCTTCATAGCTGTTTGTAGTTTCCTCACAGCAAGTTCTCTGGGAAGAATGTAATTTTGGCCCTTCTCAGAATTTGACACTAATGGTAAAAGTAAAATCCTGGTGAAATTCATCTGGGGAAATCCAGCTAAATAAGAAGTCAGTGTCCAAATGTGTAATTGTGTTGCTGCCATGTGACACACAGCTAGGATTTTTACTCTTAATTTATTGATGAAATGTTGTTCTTAACTTATATGTGAAGTGCAAGTTTACACTTTGACTTTTAGGTTTTTTTTTCTTTTTTGTTACATTTGCAGGCTTAAATACTGTTAGTTTTATTGGGAAGGCAGAATTTAGCTGTGTAACCTGCAGCATGCTTGTGTGCTGTCTTCTACAAATGATAGCACAGACATGCAGAATGTT